TCAAGTGGCGGGAGCCTTGTAATACGACCGTCATTGATGGCCCAGTGACATCGTCTCATCCCGGCTGTAGCGCGGCAGCACCGAAGGGGCAAGAAGCGTGTTTTTCATGGAAAAGCGCAGTGACTGGGGTTGTGGATGGATGATGCTGCCCTGACACCTCGTTGTGAAGTCAATCTGGTCTGAGAAAAGTCAAATTCTAGACTATCGTTATGCAGCGCCTTGAAATACGAACGCCTTTGGCATAATGGTGGGTGCTGATGAAGCCCTGCTGCCCTGGCGGCGGTGGTGGTGACAACGACGAAGACTGACGAGAAAGGGCTGAAAACCTCGTCGGAAAGAATGGGTACAATAGCAAAGTGCTTTGATCTCTGATCTCGGACGACTATGGTCGAGAACGATTAGTGAACGTGAGGGTTTTGAGTTTGCCCCTTGATCTCCGCCCTGGAAGAAGAGTCCGAGGGCCAAGCAAGCTACTGACTGATTGGACTGGGGCGGGCGGGTAGGAGCGGTGCTGATGGTGTTGAAGATCCAGGTGAGTGAGTGCTTTTAGGTGCTTCTCTTGTGTGTTGAAGATCTGATTGCCGAAAGACCCAAGTGACATGCTCATCGGGCACAGGGAGAGATCCAGTTAATCTTGGCGGAGAAAAGTCGAGCGAGATATTGTCGGCTGGGGTGTTCCGGGCCGCCAACACACAGAGCATCCAATCTCTATACTGTACTGTACTGTCTAGACCGTAGTTATGGTACAGTGGAGCGTAAATGAAGGGCTAAAAGTACAGTAATTTGTTTCTGGTGGGTATGTACGAGAGTGATAGACCTTGTGAGGCGACAAGAGCTTTTCTTGATTTCTTAGCAGCCAAGGGATCAATGTTAGTAGACGTTGGGCCCGTAGGTATCCGTACCTACCTTGCCTAGGGGGGGAAATAAAAAACGAGACTGGATTTGGTGGTAGATCGGTGGATTCTGGTGTAAGCCAGTCTCGTTTAATTCCCCCCCCCGAGGCTTGCGTTACAAGCGATATGTTTCTCGCTTCTGCCTTCCCACCAAGGTATAGATATAGATGCTTTAGATGGGTCAGGCTCGACCTGAGGTACCTACCTACCTTGCTTTAATCAAGACACAAGATACAGTATTTTCCATTGGGAAGGGAAGGTACTCTAGGAACTTAGGAACTTTAGGTAGGTGCCTTTAGGTGTGGCTGATACGCAAGGGATGAAGAAGCTATCTCCTACCCGCGCCACATCGAAGCAGGAACGAGCAGCCTCTTTTTTTCGTTGTTTTTTTAATGGAGTCTTGGTGTGTTAAGGTTAAACGAGCCGAAACATTTACCGATACCTCAGTAACAAGGCACACCTCACCTCTAGTAGTTTTACCTTGTTGTCAAGGTTCTTTACCTAGGTGAGTACCTGGTTACTAAAGCATGCATTCGCATTCATTTTTTGCGTCTTTTGCTTCAACTCTCAACAGTATAATCAAGTGAGCTAGGTCTCGGTCTCATCTTGCTCGCGTCTTCGCTCTTTGCGATCCTGACTCATCAGAACCTTTGTCGGGCTATTGTAAGCCTCTCGGCCTTCGGACAGTTTAGATTTCCGACGTTTGGTCTGTCAAACAGCAAACCACATCAAAGCTTGACGACGTGAATATGCCTGTAATACGTTTCTCCATTGTGAAGACCCTCGTAATTGAGCCTTCATACGTATTCCATTACTCGTCGGGATAACACGATAACTTCACGATAACTTAATTGCTCTTCGAATGCTTCCCGCCCTGCATCTATCTGACAAGGTTCTTGAGCCCCATCTCCAACCTCTATCCACCACGCGCGACGCTCTACAGCGACAGCAAACTTGAGATCTGAGGAGGAATAATCGGAACCATCTCATCATTCATTGAATGACTGTGCCTGTTCATCAAGATGCCACCAGACACAAGCGAGCCCGATCCTTCCGGCCAACCTGAGTCTGCAAAGACTGAGCCTTTAGCCTGCGTTTCCTGCAGAGCCCGCAAGTTGAAATGCGATCGCACGAAACCGGCGTGCACTCGCTGTCTCAAGGTCTCAAATGAGTGTGTATATCCAGAATCCCGGAGGAAGCCCAACTTCAAGAGAAGAAATGTCAAGGAACTCGAGGCTCGTCTGGGTAAGTATCTCGACAACCAACAGTTGTACTGTAATCATGAACCACGAGTCGCTGATGATGTATCTCAGCTCAAGTTGAAGATTATCTCAAGGAGGTCAATAAGAATTCTTCAGAGGAAAAAACAGACGATGGGAGTCCAACTCAGCCACCACAGGCGAATGTCAACTTCTTTGACATGGACTTTACCCCTGGACTGGGTCAGACAATTAACAATCTGCCTGATCCCGATTTTACGTCTTTCACATCACCCAATATGGTCCAAAATCCACAAGAGAGCCCCCAGATTCTGAATGCGCAGTTGATGAGTCTGGGCATGACCGAACCTTTGCCGCCGGACGATGTCATGGAAGAACTGTAAGAATGGTCGTTATTCGGACCTCCAGGATGGGCGCTGACCTTCACAGCAACAATATCTTCTTTCATAACCAATATCGCATGATACCAATTATCCACCCAGGAAAATATCTCCAATCTTTCTATGGCCCCCTGCTCCGAAGACCCCCTATGTGTCTGCGATATGCCATATGGGCTCTAGCAGCCACTGGCAGCACCAAGTTTGACGAGTACCACGATGTCTTTTACCGTCGATCACGGGCGTACATTGAGGCAGACATGATGAAGGTGAGCGATTCGGAAGTGCTTGGCAGGTCAATGTTGACAGTTTCAGGGACACGGTGATGCGTTCATATCTGTTCAGCACGCGCAGACGTGGGCCCTCATAGCGTTTTACGAGGCAAAACACCTGCTTTTCACGAGGTCGACCATAAGCGTAGCTGACTCGGTACGACTATGCCACATGATAGGACTTGACCGCCTCGATGGGGATCCCCTTGGAATGCCGCCGGCACTGGGACCTCCTCTTACATGGGCCGAATTGGAAGAGCGAAGGAGAATCTTTTGGGGGGTGTTTGCTGCAGATGCACATTGCAGTATCTCTACAGGATGGCCGAGTCTGATTAACTCGGAAGACGTATGATACACTCCCCCCTTTCCTGAGCAATGCTGACCATGACTTAGATCGCGACAAGGCTTCCTGCCTCGGAGGAAGCATTTGTTGAAGATCGCAAGGAGGACGCCCCTTTTCTGGACGAGGCAATTCAAGGTGCTCAGTACACAGGGTTTGCTGGAACCATCCTTACTTGTGAAATTTTCAAGATCATTCTCCGTCATGTTCACCGATCCAAGCCCGACTCAAGAAACGAAGATCTGATGCATGGGTCATTTTGGACTCGACACCGCGATTTGGACAATACCTTATCCAGCCTCTTCATGTTTCTCCCCGAGAAATTCCGCCTCCCTGAGAATGTGCGAGACGTATCAGCACTCCATTTGAACCTCAATCTTCACGCCGCGATTATATGTCTGCATCACGCTGCCGTTGAAAAGGCGGACAAATACAACCTCCCCGATCATGTCAAACAGGGTAGCGTTACTCGCCTTCGGGCGGCTGCCGAGGAGATTGTCAATATCATGCGACTGACCGCCAACGGCACCATGTTCTTTGTATGTATTATGTTTATTTCTTGTATCTTGGCTAACGATCGCGTAGAAGAGTCCATTGTCTGCTCTCTCGCTATACTGTACCACTACCGTTTACGTGTATCTAGGCAAAGAGGACCCGGCCACCGGCTTAAGCGCAATTGACCTGTCAAATTTCCAGCTCATAATCCAATCTATGGAAGCTATCGCACGTGTGCACACCATCACACGAACGTTCTTACAGCAAGCATGCCTCGACATCGAAAAGAACGGGCTCAGCTCTGTTATTCAAGTACCATCATTGAGGAAATATCGAAACGCTTTTGGACCAAGCAGGTCGCGTATCCCCATGCTTGCCCGAAGCTCAGTTGCGGAGCATACCGGGGCATCGCCTATCTTGTTTGCTTCCAACTTCACCCAAGAGAAACGGATGGATGCTGAAGAGTCAAGATTGGACAAAGTGGGTAGTGCCATGTCGCTGGGAAAGACGTGTTATTCAGCAGTGCTTGGGGCCGCTGCTAGAAACGTTGAGCCTGCGGATCGACCAGATCCGGAAACCAACAAACGAAAGAGAACGAGGGAAAGCCCTGGACCTGAAGTTACGGCCAACATGCGAAGCAAAGATCCTCTCAACTTGAACTTGAATCCCAACTTCAGAGGAACGGGTATGTGGCCAGCGTCATTCTCACCCCGCATGGCCTCGGGTACTATTTCGCTACCGGATCGAACAAATTCATCAGCCGCATCTTCGCCAGCTAATCAAGGTTCAAACCAAGGTTCCTACACGAAGACGGTCTCCGGGAGCAGTCATACCTCACCTGATATCGGCCTCGGGAACAGTGCAGAGGAAAATCGGATCGATTTAAGAGCATTTCAAGAACGCATCTCTACACCGATATGGCAGTCTACCGAAGAAACACTCTTTGCACAGATGGCGGCAAATACTATCCCTCTCGGTGATGGCGATCCATGGGGGATATTGAATGCTGTCGATCTCAGCTGGGATGTTGGAGGACTTCCAGCAGGAAATTGACAAGGATGGAGAAATTTGGATTGAGTTTATCTGTATTAGTAGGATAACGACTGGAGTTTTTGGTGCTTCATTCAGTGGACGTTGATGTGTTGAACGAAGGGGAACTTGTACGATATATACCCATGATTTGTTGGAGATGACAACACACAACTCTTGTACTCGATTCGGAACCAATTAGAGGAAATAAATACCCAGGACCTCTTGAAATGATCCAGATATCTATGGAATGCTCAAAGCCTGAACTATGTCTGGTCTTTGAGATCCTATGGTCAGATCAGACATTAGTGATCCCCGTCTTATCCGAAGCTTTAACCCTTGTACATAGGTAAGGTAGTTTTGCTCCACTCACCATGAGCTCAACCATCCATCCGCCCCCCTTCAACTCTCATCCTCCTCTAGACTATCAGCCATTGACTGCTTATAAATTGCCCTCAACCATGTTTCAATACGTGATTGGGCTCCTGGCTATTATTCTAGTCTTCTCAAACCCCATCAGTGACCTCTTGTATCCAGACCGGGCCACCCGCATCAACGATGTCTCACCGCGCCCCAAGTTGAATGAGTCGCTCCTAGCTATTGATCTGCCCAATGCGACAGCGCCTGAATGTGCTCCAGATGGTTATGTTGCCAGAATTTTGAGCAGAGAGCCTCTGGTGATATATCTTGAGAATTTCTTGAATGGGGAAGAGAGGAAGCATTTGCTTGATATAAGGTAGTTATGTCCCGGTATCGTGTCATGCATGATATGATGCTTATACTCAATAGTGAACCGCTCTTTGTACCTTCAACCATAACAAACAATGGCGAGGTCACTCATCGCGACTCTTCAGTCCGTGACTCTCACGTTGCGGTCATTCCCAGAACTGACCCTGTCCGCTGCATTGAGTCTCGTGCCCGCGCTCTTCAAGGCTGGCGCCCAGATCTCTGGATCGAACGCCTGAGAACTCAACGGTACGGTCCGGGTGGCCACTACAATCATCACTTTGATTGGAGTACTAACACGCGTGGATGGGGTCGTGTGAGCAGTCTTATGGTGTGGGTCGAGGGTTCTGATAGTCTTAAAGGCGGTGGCACCGAGTTTCCCCTTATCAAGAGGCCAGCGGAGACGGAATGGTGTCGGTTCATCGAGTGTCATGACGATACGGAGGAACATAGGGGCATGGGCGTGACTTTCAAGGTTGTGCCGGGGAATGCAGTCTATTGGGAGAACTTTGCGGCAGATGGTAGAGGGTATGAAGAGACATGGCATGCTGGGCTGCCCGTTCAAGAGGGAACCAAAACTGGGTTGAACATCTGGAGTTTTGGACGGATTTAAGAGTGTTTGTGTTCAATAATTACAAAATGGGTGACGGGCTGAGAGATTGGAGCCGTCGATTGTGCGTAAGAGTAGAAACATAGAAGATCGATGCCATCTCCATCTTGACTCACTCCCATCTTCTCTCACACTGTCCCATCCATCTTCCCCATACAACCACCCTACCTTTAATGGCTTCTGCGACTTGATCCCTGTTCGGTTTGGAGGTCTTGAACTTGTCGTCCAAAGGCTCATTTAGACCAATTACTTCATACCAGTCTTTGTATCATGTTAATTCATGTATTTGCACTTGAGCCACACAAAGAATACTCACATCGATGGATGCCATGATTTAGAAGTGGCCGTGGAGCACCATAAATCGAGCCGATGCGATTCGCACCATAGTAGAAGCCTCCCGCTAGTCGATTGGAGGTCTTTTCAACAGGCTCAAAGTCACTCCCGATAACTCTTGTTTTCTCAGAGGGTATTCCCAAGTAGATTCTACAACTCTTAGTCACTCTCATTCTTCCAAAACAAAATGTCAACTCACCCATGACAAACTGGCGTTGGGAGGGGAGCATCTGGATCTTCAGACACAAGTAGCCACTCTCTTACACCAGAGTGAGAGTCCCAGGATAACTCTGGAAACTTGTGCTGGTCGCCGTGCATGTAGTCCTTCCCCAATGTTGCACCATCTGGACCACAATCTGGAGATGTGACAGCAAGTGTAGGCTCTGGGTGCTCAGCAAAGGCGGGAGTGGTGAAGAAAGCTTTCGCATCTCTGCCCTTTGCGTTTTTGAAGAGCCAAGAAGCTGCAAGCTCGATGTAAGCAGTCATTATGTACTGTTTGACGTATATTGTTCTCAGGTACAATGTTTACTGTAGCATGCCGTCAACAGCAGGCTGGAGTCTTGGAGCTGAAAGGGTCAGCTTACTTGGACAAAAGACCGTCGATATATATATGATGTATACATCGGGTGTAACTAATCTCCGTGCCATACATATATCAGTGAAGAGTGGCAAGATGCAACCTTTCGGAGCCGAATCGGCAAACGCACGCAGATCAGATCACTACCATTGCTCAGTTATAGACTAGGTAGGAAAGTTTCGAGTCAAAGGCAATTTATCTAGAAATCAATAGAACATCATTTCTCTTAACTCTTATCTATCTTGACCCGATACTCCTTGAATGTGATACAACAGAATAACCATGCAACGCCAACCCAGACGCTAAATCATGATGCCTCACTCCAGATACCTTCATAAACCATGCACATCGTTAATACCACGTTAAATAAGCATCCAAGCAAACCCTAGAGCAAAGGCCCCCGCAACCATGGATATAGCTGCATCGCCTCCCAATGGCGAAAGTGACGCACCGGCATTCTCCTTATTATCAGAAGAACCACTGCCTGTGGCAGTAGGAACAGCATTCTTTCCGGTACCGATCTCGAGAATATGCGATTTTGTAGCGTTAAAGTTGCTCTGTGCTAGTGAGATCTCGTTGTTGTCAAGATCGAAAACAACGTAGGCGCTTCTGAGAAACGTGTCGCCCAAGATTGAAAAGTCCCCTGTTGTGGGTGCTATTCCAAAAGTACAGGCTGCTTGGCCATTATCGAAGGATAGTTGATTCCCTGTCACGTCGGTGAAGTCAAGGACCATCTCACTCAATGATACTGAGATCTCCGCCGAGTCTTTGAACTTGAACGTAAAGTTTCCAGAATCGTTTCCGATGTCGCAGGGAACGTAAGCCACAGACTGGCCCTCCTCGTACTGAGCGCCAACAATGTCGTATATGTCTGATGTAAGTGAGGCGGGGAGATATGACAGTGTTGAGCCCGAGTCGAGGATAACAGCAAGGTCGAGGTTGTCAACGATAGTTTCCGAGTCTGCGCTGACGCTCTGTAATGTGATGGAGAACTCGGAGAACCCGCCGTTGATCTTGTTGATAGAGAGAGTGACTAGGTCGCCGATGTACTGCTCCTGGTCCACGCCTCCAAATAGGATGGTTCCAGTGGCGGATTCGAGGTCGTTGAGATACAAGCTGTACGCATTAGAAGCGATGAGACCCTTGGAAGCCAACTTGGCCGGCAAGTTATCGTAGGCGTCTCGGTTGAGTTGGCCGACCTGAGCCTCATTGCTCTTGTATCCAATACCAAGAACGCCTTCGTTGTCAGATGTAACATATCCGATACCAAACTGTAAATCTTCAAGCTTCACACTACCCATGCGGAACGTCTCGGTAGCATAGTCTCCGGAGGCACCAGAGCCATCGGCATATGAGATGTTGAAGTCGCTGTTCAAATACTCATAAGTCGACGACTTGTTGGGGCTGTATAGGCCAGATTCGCTGCATATATTGGCGTGAGTAGAACATAGTTTTGAGCCTTCTGCGTTGACCCATAGATCACTGCTTCCAGTGTCGAGATGGAGACGGAAATCTTGAGCTGGCGTTCCCAATGATGCATTGAGGAAGTATAGAGATTGCTAGGAAAGGTCAGTGATTGTGCCTTTTGTGTTTTTGGGGCAGATACTTACTTCATTGTCAATATCAATGTCTACTGTCCCGTCTCTTCTGCGAAGACGTCTTCGATCATTGGAAATGGGATCAGATATTGTCCGCCTCTGAATCTCGACGCTCATAACACGAGGCTCGAGGCCATTGTCTCTCCTGTTGAGAGAAATTGCTTGAGTAAGTGGTAGTAAAGACAATAGCAGGGAGGATAGTTGAGTAGACTTCATGATTGAAACCTTGTAAGTTGATATGACCTGTCGAGCTCATCTGCCAACTGAGGTGAGGGTATTGATCCCTGTGTTTATATCCTGGCCCCGATGTACAGACAGACGGATGCTCCGCCCCAGGTTGACGTTAAGATCGGATTACGCCCACAAGGCGAACTCGGTAGTCTAGACTAGTATGTTGCAGTGCCGACATTTGGTCATAGATAGTCAATGTTACTAAGGATCTTGCCGCACATCCGCGCGGGAGTACTAAACTCTGGCGATGTGTCAACGTCACCTTGAAAAGCAAACGTCAGAGCACCACCTCTCGGCACGGAAACGCCGAAGTAGCGAGGGAACGACCCGAAGAGAGAGTGAGAAAGACAGAGATGAGATCGGGAGACAGAGAGAAAACATATCCAGTATCTGTTACAGCCATTCGTTGTGACATTTGCATGCATTTTGTATAACATTTGGAGAACCCAGTCATGCCATTTACCCCCTTGATCGATCTAAGCTGTATCAGAATCATCTTTAGGCGCCGCACGAACCAGTGGAGTTTGCATATTCGAAACACCCTGAAAACGTCTGGATGCCTCTGATCCCATGCTATCCCATCTCATCTTCATCTCATCGGGCACATCCAACTCATGATCACCTCCCGCTCGAGTTGATGCTGAGGCGTCAATGAGGAGACGCGCGGCCGGTAGAAACCTTGAGAGGTGTTCGGGAGATAGAGCGGGCACGTTAAAGGCGGGAGATCCGTAGTATTCGCATGATGCCTAACCTAATGAGTAGTACCCATCCTACTCTGTAAGTACAGTCAATCTGCTGCTACTGTACCTACGGAGTACACTAAGCAAAACTGTACATAAGGTAAGTATAGTTATTATTAGTTATGTTAGTTGGCGCCTCAACTTATTTGCAAGCCTCTCTATGAAACGTTTACATGGGCGTCTGACTGGCGCATGCTCGATGACGTGCAATGCGTTGGTCCCTGCAGCGCTTAACCACGGGGCTTTCTTTGTCACACGATGCCACAGGTTGCAAAGTCTTTCTCTAAAGAGAAACCTATTCGATTCTAGGTAGTTGAAGTTATTCAGGAAAGGCCACTACCTAGTCAGTTGACATCACATGGATGAGAATCGGATGGCGATGCTTACGACAACTTAAAGTGGCTCAAGGTGCCGAACTTCCGATTGACAACGGAGGCACTAACTAGCTAGTTACAATTCAGATTCAGGGTACCACAGAACAGAGCCAAGTCGATTGGCATGACGTCTGATTCTTGTTTCATTCCTTTAAATAGATGTTTCCCCCCTCGAAACTGCCAAGATCTCTTCCCTCTAGAGTCATTGGCTCTGTAATTTCTCTTGTATGTTTAGGGTAGACAGTGGTTCCATTATAATCATGCATTTGAATCAATGTTGCTCTCAACACCAACAATTATCACGAGAAGCGTGATTCGTATTTTGTGGCTATTCTCTATCCCATACATACTATTACTCTCGGTTCAGGTTCGACGTCGTTTCTCATTGTATCATGCAGTAACATCTTCGGTTTCACAACCCCCCAGCTTGCTTGAACTCAACGTCCGCTTCCAGACGGACACTCGTGTAAATTACCCCTTAACTAGCCATTGTGCTTCTCGGGCACAAAGGGGCATGTCGTCAGGGAAAACAGTGCAGAGGCCTCTCTCCGGGTACGCATCTTATCTTGGATGTTCACCATCAGCCACTTATAACTCAGCTTATTCTTCTGCCTACCAAGCCACGTAAGGATGCAGTCCTACATCACCAACACAAACCGTGCAAGTCATCAGTTTTTGGCTGCCTAGAAAAGCGCTGCCAAGCTTAATAGTCTTTGTGCGGCTGAAATCAATTTTTTTTTGAGGGGGCTGCATATTACCAAGTGATGTTGTTTGTAGCGTTTACATAGGCTTACATGTCCTGGACCGATTGTGCAGCTTGGCATGAGTATATATATAATATGTGTTGCTTACCGCAAACTTCTGACCATCTGTACCCGTGATAACACCTTTTGCCCTCTACTGGAATTTCCACAGTAACTAACCAACGCCAAAATGGATTTTGAGCTGCTCGCAAACATGGACCGATGGTACAACCTCCTCCCTCTTAATCTCTGAAACACTGAGACTCAACTGACATGATATTTCTCAGTCCCATGTACGCCGTATGTAGCCCTTTACCAAAGAATAACCCACCTCTCATCACATAACATATGGACAGTCCTTCTTTGGCGCACTTGGTTGTGCCTGTTCCATCGTATTCACAACTTTCGGCGCAGCATACGGCACCGCAAAGTCCGCCGGCGCAATCTTCCAATCTGGCATCCTCCGCCCCAACATGATGATGCAAAACACGTACGATGAGATGAACTCAACGTTAGTAAAACAGTGGCTGACACACGCAGCTTGTGTGCCATCATGGCCCAGATCCTGTCCATCTACGGTCTCGTAGCAAGCGTCATCATGTCAAACAACATCAAGGAGAAGATGGCTATCCACACGGCCTTCTTGCAGCTCGGTGCCGGCATTTCCGTAGGGCTGTGCGGCATGGCTGCTGGCTTTGCTATTGGCATTGTTGGTGATGCTGGAGGTATGTTCATTCATGGACTGAAGGCAGCAAACTTGACAAATTGTGACAAATGCCTAACAACCCCCAGTTCGTGCAAGTTCGCAGCAACCGCGTCTCTATATCGGAATGGTTCTCATCCTCATCTTTGCCGAGGTCCTAGGCTTGTACGGTGTCATTGTGTCCATCCTTATGTTAACTCGCTCCACCGATGGTGTTACCGAATGCAGGTACTGAGACATACAAACCAGAGCGCGATGGCCCGGTATCATGTTAGACCATAGGTTTCAAATCCAGGCTGTCGTCAATTGTACTGAATAAATGTTGCGGGGGTATATGCAGATCTAAGATAATGATAAGGCAGCCAGCCACGAGCAAACAGACTTTGTTCCTGTCCTCCTCTTGCTACAATGCCCATTCGTTGATGTTGTCGTTATGCGTAATGAAAGGCTCATCAATCCTCTTGATTGCAAGGTCACTGCAAAGAATACTGTACAATGTTAGCTGTGAAACTACAAGAGGAAACACAAACATACCAAGCAGAAGCGACAAGAGCATCCAGCTCCGCCACCACAGTCTCCCTCTGAGTGCCACTGACCAAACCCTTCTGTATCTGTGTCTGAAGTTCCCTGATACGTGTGGACTTTCCAACGCCCGCCTGCTCTAGCACCTTGCGTCCCAAGCAGTCAGAATGGAACGAATGCTGACAGGGGAAGACAAAAAACTGCCTGCTCAGGAGCGGCAGCCCACATGTATAACACTTCTCTCCTGGTTCCACGATTGCGTATCGGTGATCGAGCGCAGCAATGTCAACCTTGATATTTGTTGCAGTCTGCGACGACTCGTCCATCTCTTTCTTCAAGTTATCAATATTACGGCTGTAATCTTCCAGTGCGGCGCAAATCTCCTCTTTGAAGTCATCGATAACAACAAAGTCAGGGAAGAAAGGAATGAGATCCTCGATCTTGAGCAAGTCGCACCGCTTGAGGAATTCAATGGCGGTCTTGATTCCATTCGACTGGGAAATGACTCTTCGGGCCACCGCAAGCCACAATCGCTTGCGCAGTTGAGGATTCGACATGGGTCGATCTGCAATAACTGCTGCTAGCTCAACCTCGCCATGAGAAAGCGCCAAGTCCACTGCTTGAAGATACTGCCCCATGCTGGTGTAGATGTGAACGCAAGATAATGTTCGGTGGTGTTGAATGCAAAGTCGAAGCGCGAAATCTGGGTCGTAACGCGGCTCATCACCTTGTGCTTGTAGGTAGGATAAAAGTCCCGATTCATCCTTGGAAGAGTGAGAGGCGTAAATCGAGACCAGAGTGTTGTGTACAGCAGCATCTTTCGAGTTAAGCTGGTAAACCGCATAGTTGAGGTACCTGATAGCTTGGTTCTGTGCATTGGGGCCTCCCGAGAATGTCCGGTTGTACTCAAGAAAGGCTGGTATGAGATTTCGAGGCTTCAAGTCAGCATGCCTCATCAAGATCTCAACCAGCTCGGGCGCTACATATGTCATAAGCACGCTGCTATATCGGTAAAAGACCTCAGGATCCGTCTGTTTCTTGAGAACATTCAGGACCTCATTCCATCTCTCTCGCTGTACCCAGTAAGAAAGAACATAGTTGTAGTCGTTAACCGCATTGGCAAAGTATAGAAGTTCTCCCTCACGGCCGTGGCTGCTGATGACATCGTAGACCATTTTCCGGTCGAGGTCGTTTTTGTACTTGTCGACAAAATCTCTAAATTCTTTCCTCACAGACTCGAGTAGCTTGCGTGATTCAGTTGAGTTGAGGTGCTCCGACGGCTCAGCCTGTGTGTTTATGGTATCATCCAGCGTGTTGAGTTTGGACATAAAGACCTCGATCAACCATCCCGCGATCATCATCCGCTGCATCACTGCTGATTTCTTGAGCGAAGCTAATTTCGTCAGTAAGAACTTTCTCAAGGCATCTGGTTGATTATTGTCGATTATGCTCAGTGCGATATCTTCAAAAGGCTTGTTGCTGCGGCCATAGACAGTAGCAGCCTCGAGCCAGTGTCCATTCTTGGCCAAGTGGTCACCGTAAGCAGCCGCGACTGTTTCCTTCTGAAGCGGTGTTCGAGCATGCTGCAGAGCTGGCTCAAACTCTTTCAGTTTTGTCATAATCTCCCAGATGTTGCGCTCCTCATCTCGAACCACAATCTCGAATATCTCGTCTGATGTAAATAGCCAAAATGTGTTCTTTTGGATATCCACAGAGAACCCGAGAGGCTTCTGTCCCTGACCGATAACATCATGCTCAGACACCATCTTTCCGGTGAGACGATTCGTTGTAATGACACGGCCCCCGACCAGGTGGACAATATGCCATTGTGTGAGCGCGATTGCATCGATTGCCTCGGTTGTCGGGACTCGTCTTTCGCTATTCTCAGGGGAAAGGATCTGAGCTCTAGAGAGCATATGTGATTCGGAAAAGACCTTGGTCCCGAGGTTGCTGTCTGCTGGCTGGTTCAAGAGTTTACCATGGAAAACGCCTTGGTACGATAGCCATGCATATGCTCTATCAGGAATATCGTCATCGTATGGTCCAGAATCTGGGGGGTCTGGGGATACCGCTAGACTCGAAGTAGCTCCTGAGGTCGTCCGGGACAGTTCATGAACAACAGGCTGCTCTGACTCGAACAATCGGGTGTATACAGACCCTGAACCATCATGCCCAAAACCTATCCTCCCGACTAGGTGAAACAAGCGTGTCTGAGTAGCTATCACAACCCGCCGAAGGTCTGACTTGTTATTCTGAAGATTGTCCACCCATAATCCCGTAATTGGTCCGTCAGGAAGTTTGTGAAGATTCTTCAAGTGCTTCACCTCCTTCTTGTAAAACTCCTTTGACGTCTCAATAAAGGCTTCGTAAATGTTGCCGTCGGATGCACCGATCAATATCTCGCGTGTCGATGCTGTCGGTAACGAAGGGTTCCATGCCACACTCTCGATCGAAACTCCTCGTAGGCGCCCAAGTGGCCGAGGATGTTTTGACTGGGAATGGAGGTAATAATTCTCGCCAAGCGCGGTGCAAACAATTAGATGTGATGCTGTAGGGTCGAGGAACATGCGCCGTATCATGCCAATCTCGGATGGCTTTTTGGGAAGGTCGATGTCTATACATTGCGATATCAGTCACCATGACTAGCTGCATGATACATCGCTCAACTGCTCACCGTCAATATCCTCGGGTCGTTCCAGGTCAATACGGAGAATGCGTCCATTGGAAAGGGCGAGGACGATGACGTTGTTGGCAACCTGCGCTGCAACAAAATCGGCGGCTACTGAGAACTGTAGCTGGACGCGCTCTATGGTGAAAATAGGTTCTTCGAGGTCTGGGACGCCATTGGCGGCGACGAAGCCATCTTGGAGATCCAGGGCCATATTGTCGCGGTCTCACAGGCGCATATTCGGCGGTTGGGGGCGTGGAGGGTGGCTATGCGTCTTGCGCACTTCTAGGCGTCTGATTTGAATTCGACAAACACGGGGCCTAGAGGTTGGGTCGACTCGCTGAAGTTGGTTGATGATGGGAATGAGTGAGAGGTGTTGACGGTGACGAAGTCGGTGGTTGGACAAGCTCCAGGTCCCCACCTGGGGACGGCCGGACAGGCACCTCACCTATCTGCTGTTGGGGGCTAAGGCCGCTATTTAGCTCCAGCTCCTGGCAAAACACTCGCCCCAAATATTACATCACCACCTACGCTTTCGCTACCTTACTGAATAAGCATCACCTGGTTAAGAGAATGCTCAATGAATCAGAGGCAGCATAAGTTTTGACTCTACAAAGATTCTATTGCCAGTGCACTGATACACATATTCTCCCTACGGTCTGTCTAACCAATCCAAGTGTCTTTTACATAACTCGTCATGTCTATAGCTCTGAATAGCCATCAGACGAACAAGTCTTGTGTACACCAGAGCGCCGTCCATGAGTATCTTCAAAGGATAACCAACCCCCTAGATCGAATGCTGAAGAATGTACAGATAAATGTTTAGAAGAACCAAAAAAAAAAAAAAAAAAATGAGTCGTCATCCGTTTACAACGCCGGCCCAAAACAAAAGTATGCGCCAAACCCCATCGCACACAAAGCAAAGCCGCTGAGCCGCCCAAGAATTAATCTTCTTCGTGCCCTCGCCAGAACCGAGCTGGCACCACCGCCTCAGCTCAGACCTGCGGTTGTTTGGTCATCTGGACGGAGCGTAGGATCAGGACTGTTGCCGTTCAGTTCTGTTACTGGCGAGTAACTCCTCCCCAAGAATTCTGCCAGATCTGTGGGCGCCGCATCGAGGGGTTTTCTGCCAATGATAATGCGCATCTTGACCTGAAGACCCTTCGACTTCTCGGGGTCCTTGGCTGCGTTTGCCAAGTCTCGGGCAGCAGCTTCACAAGCCTGTTTGCATTTCTCAGGGTCCCAGTCCAAGTACTCCGTCAACAAGCGCAAGCAATATGCCTCGAAGCTGTCTAGACACGAAATAAGCCAGATCTTGCCAGCAGATGCCTCGGCAACGGTAATAGGTATAGAGTATTCCGTAACCCGTACGTCAACAAAGCCTGCCTCCATGAGCAGCCGTGGCTCGAGATGATGTATCCCTCGTGGACGCCCCGACTTTTCCGAGGCGATCAAGAGGTCTCGAAGGAGTTCGTGCATGGGAGAGTTGTCGGGGAACTGCGATAAGAATTGTGCAAAGCCCTCCGCGCTCACAAAATCTTGAACCTCAATCCAGCCACCAGGCTTGAGAGAAAAGAACGTATTGTCGTAGACGAAGCTCCAGTTCCGGAATGCACCCTCCATAAGCCGGAAGTGAATCAGGTCGTACATATCAGGGTGGCGATCCCAATCCTCGGCGTCTTCAATTTCGAAGAAGACGTTCATGGGCACGCTTTTAGTCTCGGCTATCGCAGCGATATCGGTTCCGACAACTTCACACTGGGGTTGCAGCTCGGCCATCTTGATTGCCCATTCACCTGTTCCTGTGCCAATATCGAGAATATGCTCGGGGTTTTGCAGAGGGACAAGAGTAAGTTCACCGTCCAGGACGTGCATGAATACTTGGTGTTGAAGAGACATTCTCCATTGTTCGATGTCGTCGTTTGGCATATAATATTCGCGACAGTAGCGCCGGCCGTGGATTTCTCGGTAGTCAAGGTCTTGCGCCCACAACGATCGTGTCGATGCAGCCCTAGTATGTGTTAGTGTCACGGCAAGGAATGTAGCACAAGTTGTCGCTCACATGTCTGAGTCTATCGCATGGGAATCTGGAGAGAATGGAGTCTCTACGCGGTGCGAGGCAGAGACCCTGGGGTATTGAGAAGCGGGATATATGGATATCATGTCGTCTTCGTCGACATCTTCGTCGAGGTCGGAATCATCGTGATGATGCTCCTCATCAGTACCCATGATACTGGTCATGGCTGTGTTATTTCCGTCGCTATTGGCATGCTCACTCGGTGTACCGTCGCTAGATTGTCGGCCGCTCTGTACAGCGTACGAGTCTTCCGAGGACATTGTGCTCGTCTGAGACTGGTTGTGACGTCCCCGTGTACTTTTGCGTTGCTTGGTCCTTCGCTTTTTGGCCATGGGTGTCTAGAGAGAAGAACAGGAGGAGAATGACAACTATGATGATTGAATGGATGCGATAATGGCTGACGACATGGCTTGATATCGGGGAATGAGGCTGAAACGAGCGGCGCGGGCGACAAAAGTTCGGGCTCGGGTATGATTCGTTGTTGCTGTCGCGATGACGGAGAATGGTCCAAGATTTGGTGGATGAGAGGTTGAGGCGCAGAAACCGGATTAGTTAAGTTCGGGTTTATTCGCGAGAGCGAGGTTGGAGTCTTTGTCTAAAGACGGTCCGTACGAGGGCCAAAAGAAACCCGAGCGGCAGTAGCAGCCGTCAAAGCACAAACAAAGCAATTATGGATAAAGGACGAGATATGTATTCGTGAAGTATCCGTGGATAGGTAGAGCGGAGGAGGATCCAAGACTTCAAGCAGGAAGAAGACCTGGGGATTGGTAAAGGCCCGTGAGCACAGACCAAGAAACGGGGACAAGGGTCTGAGGGAACCGGAAGGGATCCGTAGAAAAAGGCAGACAAAATTGTATATGGTCAGTTTACGAATAGTCTGAGGTAGGAAGAGAGAAGAGATAAGTTGACTGGTTGAGTCACCGATAGAGAGGAAAAGCTGGGGAATACACTAACTCCCTAGAGCCAGGGCTACCTTAGTTAGGTACTAAGTTAGTAATTAGTACGGTCGTTGGATTGAAAGACCAAACAGAAACAGAAACAAAACCAACTCGAGGATTCTCTTTACCTGATGAAATACAATGGACAGAACAGAATAAAAGTGGAGGAGGAGAGAGATCCAAGGATCGGGTGCAAGGGGGGGCGTTCTGCGTCTGGTGCTACCACTGTGCTGCTTCTGAGAGACAAGGATATGCCGGTCGGTTGACAACGTTTGTGGTTAATAAACGACAAGTCTCTTGGATTGACGGTGGTAGACGCTAGCTGTTTCCTGGCAAGGGACTGGCTACCTTCAGAGTCGAAGATGAAGTTGAAGGGTTATAAAATATATATACATATCATACCCAGTGTGTAGGTAGGGAGAGTAGGCGGCTCATTGCCCATTCATATGCAGTGCAGTAACAGTACAGCACTCATACCTTAATCTACTGGTTCAGATCAAATCCAAGTATACACAACCCCATGCTCTATGACCTTCTTGAGCTTGGCAATACTGGCTGGTAACGGAAGGCCGTGGCAACCCTGTGAAGTATCTTCGTCCGTATCCTTAACTCAGAGAAGATATGTACAGATAAATCATGAAACGTTGTATCCCTCTGACGGCCGTTTTTCCATTACTGTCCGTTTATGCGATTCGACGGTCAAGGTGGAGGTTTATCCATTCCTCAGCTCCCGGCACTCTAAGCGTACCTGGCCCTTTAACCCGCCGCATATATCCTAAACACGGACTCCTCACTCCATGGATGTTTCTGCACCTGCTCTCGGATTGATGTTGCTCCGGTGAGCTTGGCTGCTTGGCTCTGCTTGTCAAACGGCCTCGGCTACCGGGGGGTTGGAAGAGACAGGCCTGGACCCTAAGCCTCTGTGCACTATTGAAGGTCCATGGCATACTCCGTACCTACCTAGGTATTTCTCAACTGGTTGACCAGTACGGAGTACATGTGTGGCATCTGTACGACCTCATCTTACAAGAAGGCGTGGATTAGGTATTCTCATCAGTAGTGTCACCCCATGGAAGTACTCAGAAGCAACACGGCAAGTTCCAGCCCAATCTAGGCTCTTAGAAGCAATGAGCAACACAGAAACTTGCTCTCTTGGGGATGCTAAGAGTTTCCCCCTCAGGGAACCTGGCTCCTGGTCCATCATCCCACGGCAGTGGAGCAGTGCAACAGCCAACAGCAGGGGATGCACAGTTGGTTCAGGGTTCACAATCCAGACAAAGACTTAAACCTGATTCAGATAAGCGTCCATGCGGGTCTTTTCATGAGTCGATGTTTACTGTACTCCGTATGCGAGTCGGATACCTTGTCCGCCTTAGCTTGTCTTGTGCCTTTGTTCAGAAATCCAATCCTGCCTGTTATCGCACGCCAAGAAAAGACAATACGACAATAGAGATAGATTTCGTGTCGATTAAGCATAATTGCTTGTCACTCATGTATCGGCATTACTGTTACTCAAAAGAGCGACGTCTCTTTGACTACAGCTAGCCGCGTCTTCCTTGTGTCATGGGTGTAAGTTACATATCTCCACATCGTTGGAGAGAAAAAAAAAAACGGTCGATGAAGTGCAACAACCTGGACAAGTTGGCTTTTACTAATTATTTACATGCGGAATTGGGCACTGATACGACAAGGATGGCCTCGCCGTTGTCGTATGTACGGATAGACTTGTTCCTACTTGTATTCCTACTGTAACTCACTTATCAATCGTCGACTCATCAAATTCTAGTCAGTCAGTGTCTGTCTACTAAGGTCTCACATCTTGAAGCGGCCCGTCCCCTTTACCCTCTGACCCCGTCGCCCAAGCTCCAAGTTAACAAGTTAGAGGCAATTAATCAAAGCCCTCCCGCCCTGTCAAACCCTTTAGTGCAACCCAAATGTCAGTGATTCCAATTGGAAACTCTTCCTGTTCTCCGCTTAGTTCATGGTCTAGTACATGTCTGCCTATCAACATTTCGGCAGTTAAAAAATACTGTAGTATGATGGCCAAAACACCACCAACACCATCACCATCACATACTAAGAACCCTCACCCCCGGATAACCTTTCCCTTGTCCCTTATCCGGCAGGTCGGTTCACATTGGGCATCGACAGGAAAGATGTCAAACCATCCCCAGTCTAGGATCGTCCCGCCGTGATCCCATTCGCTGGAGACTCCGTAGAGTGAAAGAACTTCACCACGTATCACACAAACTGTTGCCTCTTGTTATGTGCTGTCAGAGTTTCCCGGGACGCATTAGACTGTCGGCCCGGCGCCGCGGAGTTTAGCCTCTCCCCGACCCGCTGCTTTGGACTTGGTGTCCTCCCCGAGAGTGCGTTTGCGTCCGCGTCTGCGTCTGTGTGCTGGCGTTGCCTCTGCATTTGCATATGATACCGGACCTTTGGGAAGATACCTGACCCCCTGAATTTTGGCTTGGTTTTTCCTTTTGTCTGCCCCAGTTAGTGATGCATCATGCAGGAGAACGCGTCATTAATTGTGGCCATTGGATACGCATCGTTGCATTTTGTCCTGATTGTGTTCCTGCAGTTACAGGGGGGGCTTATTGGTTACTGGGAGTGCTTTGACGGTCCAGAGTTGAGTTGTTCTCATAGGTAGCCGATGATAGTAAGCCAATGCCATAGCGCCTAGCTTTCACTACTTATTACATTGAACCAGTGATAGTTGCTGCGGTCATCTTGATTGCTACGTGGTCTAATCCATACGGTAGACGCACAAACATGTATCCACGATATATTAGGTATATTTCAAGATTCTTTGAATCTAGGTGATTGAACTTGCAGCCCTAGCCTCGGGACTTTGTCTAACCATGAGCCCCCCTCATAAGTGGTATCTATGTCTTTCATCCATCTGTATGTTCTATTATCAAATTTCATCTCAAAAAGAAAAAGGAAGAAAAAGGCCCGCAAAAAGAATGGCTGCTCGTCAAGCGGTAATCTGATAACCGCCGCTGTTGTTTTGATGTAGCCCACTTGTATCCTCACCGTTCTGTGGTGATCGACAACCACCACTCATATCATCATTTTTGTGCTGTTCCGGCAGCTTGCCCTGTCGTATATCTTGGGACTCAAGTGGTTCATCGCGCATTGATCGCGCATCATCCGGCACCATCTCGCCATCGCTCACCGTAGGAAACGGCGTGAGAACATGGCTGATGTCTCCCCACCAGCTCTCTCCGAACTGCGTGAACCAATCGACGGTAATCTTGAGGCCTTCATCTATCGACACTTTCTGCTCCCAACCAAGCCTCTTTAGTTTGGTGCCATCAACTGCATACCGACGGTCGTTGAAGGGTCTGTCCTGAGTGTACTTGATCCACTTACGGAGCTGCTCCGGGGTATCGTGTGGTATCCTCATTCGGTCGAGCAGCATCCCGCAGAGCTCTAGATTGGATACTTCATCATGTGAACCGACGTTGTAAATCTGGCCAATTTGACCTTTGTGGAGAATCGTGTCAAACGCACCAGCTGCGTCGCCAGCGTAGAGATATCGCCGGGTAGGCGTGCCGTCTCCGTGCAGAACCAGTGGCCGCTGACGGTTAAGGAGACATGTAAACTTGGGGATGATTTCTAAGAACGGTTAGAATCTTGGGCATGCATCATGTGGAAGGCAGCTAGCTTTCTGACTCACTCTCCGGATATTGATGAGGACCGTATACGTTGTTACTCCGCACAATGATGGCAGGTAACTTGAAACTCTTCTGGTAAGACTGCACCAACATCTCAGCTGCCGCTTTGCTGGCGGCATATGGATTTGTAGGAGCCAATATGCTCGTCTCAAGAAGGTCGTCGTCGTCTTCTTTAACTTCACCGTATACTTCATCAGTCGATACATGAATGAAGCGGCCAATGCCAACCTTCTTGGCGCTTTCGAGGAGAACATGAGTTCCGTAGACGTTTGTATGTGTAAAGCCATAAGAGTTGCCAAAGCTCAGGTCCACATGTGACTGGGCGGCAAAATGTAGAACTGTATCAATATTGTATCGCTCCATACAGTCAACAACCTCAGCTGGATTGGTGATGTCGCCATGATAGAAGGTAAAGTTGGAGGATTCACTTAGGACGCCTGTGTTGTTGAGAGCAGCGCAGTAGTCTAGCTTGTCGAATGATACAATGTTATAGGCATGTGGATATGTCAAAGTGAGATGGCGGACGACCCAGCAAGCGCTTGAAATAAACCGTCAGTGGAGCAGAGCTTGGCGTGGAAGGACGTCACTCACATGAAGCCAGCGCCGCCCGTAATCATGATGTTTTTGACATCGCAGCGA